GATCTTGGTTTCTAACCCTTGTGGTGTCAGGAAAGCTGGTGAGTTTGTGCGATTAGGACTGAATTCTTCCTGGTCAACTTACACTACTATATTGCCAGGTTTGAATGGTTTAGAAAACACTGTCTGATGTTAGAAAATCTTGGCAGTGTATATCTATGGAACTTTTCTGATATAAGGTGAGATAAAGCTCACCTGGACTGGATGAAATTTAATATATGTGTAAGCGAATATGCTTGTATTTATTTGCTACTGAAAGGAGAAACTAGTCCCCAGACTAGCTAAAAAAACCTACAACAATATACGCTGGTATTATACTCTTTCTGAAGGTCAATCAATAAGTATTCGAGAAAGCTCTCAAACACACGATTGTACAATTTCAATTGATACTCATTAATCTTCAATAACTCTCTTGTATTTCATTGTTAAATTAGTTGATAATAATAATTTTATAAAGTTTACAGACTTCATAAGTTTATCTGCTTCTTTCTCGTATTACATATAATACATCAATATTACTCCTACCCTGAGAATTTTTGACCAATGTGTTTCTGTTTCACTAGGGGAAGCAATAGTGAATGAAGTAGATGCCTAGATTGACGTTGAAGTCTGTAACTGGAAAAATCGAATTTTAAAGGGTAAGGCAACTTCAAAAAGTGTCACCATCTCAATTACGTAAATAAAAAAAACAACACCTGTTGACCTTTATTCACACCTTTTTGCTTAATCTTATGCACCACGTCAATGAGAACTGCTGTTTTTGTGTGTGTTAATGTTTAATCTAGTAACCGCGCAATCTTAAATTGTTTAATTCAGTGGGCGTTAAACTCCCAAGTAGATGTAGTCGCAATCCGACTGCCCCAACTATTAAGTTATTGTGATTCATTTCTGTTCCCTTTAATATTTAAAAAGCATCGAACTGAACGCATTTTTGTCTACATGAAACTGGATTACTTTAATTTATCGCCAAGCATCTTACTGACGAGATTCTCACAAATAAGTCCATATATTTATGCATTGCTAAGTATTGTCTCTGTCTAAACGTATTCTTTGAAACATATTTCGTTTTTTGAATATTGTCGTTTAGTGACGGTTGATTTCGATTTTTTGATTTCATGAAAAATTGAAGTTTTTTATATTCTTTTCATGGATAGGTGGTTCACTGGTAGAGTGTGTTCTCCATCCACGCAGATCGTCCGAGTTCGATTCCCAGTCGAGCCACTCGTTACACTTCACCTAGTTTGCTAGTTTTTAATAACCCCAGAAACGTGGACAGTTTGGGAGTGAGGCTAGTAAATCTAACCCATACAAAATAACAACATCATTGCTATTAGAACTCCACTCAGAACACAAAGGAATGGAAAAAAGGTCTTTCTTATGTATTCCCTACTATTGACAATAAAACTTAATAATAAGCTATACACATATGAGGCATAGGCCTGACGAGTTCACGTTGTTTACTGATGTAGCTCGTAGACACTTTGTCCTGATGATAGAAGTCTGTTGATTTACCGCACGATGTGACTGTTTAGTTCAATGCTATGACTCTACAGTACAGTGTTATTTGGTATTAAATCTTGACAGTGTTAAATTTGATGCTTATTGACACTCATCCATCTGCAGCAGTCCTGGAGAAGTCAAGTTTCTAGTTCATTTATATCCTACTGACGTTGTTTATGTGTTAATTTCTCCTGCTTAATTTGTCTCAAATTTATCTTTACAAAAATGAGGACTATTTACTTCATGTATATTCAGACGGGCAAACAACAATATGCGGAAAATATGCAGTCGCAATTATATACTTGAAAGTTTGGAAAAAGTGTATCTCTTTTCACAGAATGCTTATTTTTGCTGTCAAGTGTTGGTTTCCAGCTATATGATTGGTCTCAAGATTGATCACAATATGACCGATATCAGTTAGAGAACCATTGGAACACTTGAGAGTACTGGACAATTGTTTTGTCCCAGCTCAAAGCTCTTCAATAGTACGCACTCACCGAGGTTCGAACCCAACACCTTGCGGTTACAAGACGAGCTCATAGACCACTCCGTCACTGGGACCCGACCCAATTGGTTCATGAATTCCAACTGTTCTCCTACCTAACTTGGTGGAACCCACTGGCTATAACTTCTTAGTAGAACTCTGGGTAACTTCCTGTATATAGAGCCAGTCACTAGTGAGTACCAGATTAATTGACTAGTATTGGTTTGCAGGGATTTTATTGGTTTACAGATTTTATCATGAACCAGTGAAAATCCAGGGAGTACTGAACATCTTGTGATCAAACGTGTAAATTATTATTAGTATTTTTTGTGATAGGAAACATGACTTTCTGTGCAAAATTAGTAATTTATACTTTCTAAAATGAATATCAATGGATTTTAGCTTTTGTCTCTTTCACTGGTGTTACCAAATAGCACTGATTTAAGCATTTTATGATAATTGTGTATTTATTATTTTTAAATGGTTTAAATGGTTTGCCAAACGTGTTTTATTCATCTGCTTTCTAATTATGAGTGGTCCAGAATTTTCGACCTTACTGTATTCACTATAATTAGATTATTCGGATTTTATAGGAATGCTTGCTGGGAGTGTACTTTCATTTTCTGTGCGAATCAATAAATAAGTGACTGATTATATTCTCACTTGAGTCACGCGACCGTTTATGAAATTTTTTTACTGGCTGACGAATAGTCTGTTTACAATATTTGTGGTTCAGCAAAAAAAAATAGATAAATGATGCATACATATATCAGTCTAGATTTTTATAATTCAACAAAGTGTGATTATTGTGATTATTAATTGTCTTATCGATGTCTTTTGTTAAAAATGTTATTATCATTATTACTCCCTTGGGTTCCGAGCGGAACTTAAGGCTTCAACAACACATCGCCACTTAGAGTTCTGCTTGGTGCTGTCCTCCTCAGCTGGGTCCTCGATTGGCCACAATCTGTCATCTCCTCCCCTCACGATCTGCTGCTTGTTACGTAATTTGTCTTCCCTGAATCCAGCTTGTTCCGATGGAGCTGGTGGAGCTATGCATCTAGTGCATCTTTTATTCTTTTCAGGATGACGCGACTTAGTATTTTACTTGTTGTGGACAAGAGCATTATTCCAAGCCAATCAGTTTTTGCAGAGTGAGGCGTGATTCGCTCTTCTTTGGCAGCTTGACAAGGTAGCCAGGCTTCCTTCCAGTCGGTAGATACCTTTCCTTCTTTCCGAACCTTTTGCAATTATAGCGCGAGAAGATCGACCACAGTCTCTGGGTTCGTTTTCAGTGCTTCGGCGTTAATTCCGTATGGTTGTGCTGTCTTCCTGGGCTTCATTATCTTGATCATGTTCAAGATTTCTGCTTTCTTTGGAGGATTGATGTCCAGTGGCATTTGATTTAGGTTACTGTAGATACCATCCATCCCTCACTGGAATCCACAGAATTTTGTTTTCCCTCCATGTGAAGATGTGCCTCGCTGGCTTAAATATTCGCTCAGCCTTTGGTCATCGAGTAGCAGGTTCAAATGGCGTCCCAACTACTTCAGTCTGATCAAGTGCCAGTCCCCACACAATAATAGCGTGACTCATAGCCTGGAACATGAAAGACCTTTTGCTGGAACTGAGTTCACTAAACTCTTCTCTTTCCTGTCTCCTGTTCTTGTCTTTTTATTTTTGTTATATATTTCTTGTCCCGTTGTATTGGTGGGTGAAAAAGAGAGAGAGAGTACGATCCACGGCGCCTTTATGCCTAACTTTTTCTTTTCGGAATAAGTCTATCTTTCGATTAACAATGAAATTGCATTCAAAACTTAATATTTTCGGATAACTGAATCACCGAATCTTGTAATTATGCGAACACTACTTTATACCCAAGGTGTATGCATTACTCTGTAATCGTTCATCCTTCACATCTCTAGGCATGTAATGAGTAACAAAAGTAAATAATGGGGAAATAATAGAATACACACAAAGTCTTCAGTGTCTTTCAAGATGAAGTAAAGAAACGGAAAGCAATTAAGGAAAGTTACTGTCACGATTAAGATGAAGACAAGACGTAAAGAAAAATGTATGTATTACTGAGGTTGGTTCTTAGTCACATCACTTATATTACCAAAAGCATAGTTGCTCGTCCGAACCCCAGATAGGAAAGTCTGCAGGTTTGTCTATACAACTCAGACGGTGAATTGGTACCAGGCTTTAGTGTAACCACTCCTACTTTCTCCAATCATAACATAACGATGAAATGATTAGTGAAAGTCAAATGATTGTTTAAAAAAAAAAAATTTCTGCCAACACTTTGTTCACCAAATGTTCAACAAGGACGATGCAATTTGCTTCGGTGAATGAAATTAGTTTGTTGTGCTTCCACCGAACCAAAATGCATTTATTTTGGAAGTCTCGTTGTCGAATTGTCCAATGTATCTGGGCTTCTTATCCCACTTTCAATTGTAGAGTGCTGCTGAACATAAAGCTGTTAACTGATCTTATTTTTAAAGGAAGAATGAATCGGAGGTGTGCAGTGTTTTCGATACCTAGATTGCATTAAAATGTCTGTTTGTATGTTCATTGGTTTTTGTTTTGTATTATAGATTCAATCAAAATACAACAAAGGACTTTCATCTGATCTGTCAATTATCCAGTTGACTAATAGACTCAACTCTAGACTATTTTCAAATAGATGGTGAGATTTACATGTGCATCGGTGGTAATTCATTGGTAGAATGCTTACCAGCCACACAGCAACTCCTAGTTCGATTCCCATTTGACGTACTCTCAAACCTCGTCTAACTTTCTAGTGAGCCTAGAAAAACTAGGGTAAGTTAGACATCAGACTGGCGACTGCACCCCACTGCTACTAAAACTCCAAACAACTTGAAGCTTCATGTTTCACCTGGAAGGCAAGTATGCTAGGAAAACTTGTCTGGAAATTGATTATGTGTAGAAAATGTTTTAAGTCAGGTATTCATCACCAGTGGTCTACTTAAATTTTTTATCATTGTAACTTTTGTAGATTCTCCAGCTGGTAGTCTTAAACTGTCAGATGATAAGAATTCAAGTAATGCATTCGATTCATCTACCAGATGGGATACTTTAACGACTACTTCAGATATCAAATCAAACAGTACACCAGAAAATTGTGCTATAGTGAAAGATGCCTCCATGTCTAACACTAATGACAATATTAACGATAATATCAATGCTAGTGGATACTTAAATAAAAATGATGAACGTTCAGATAATCACTTGACTAAACAGTTTATGTGTGATAATGCTGTATCTTTTAAAGAGAAAACATATTTAACTGAAGCTGTGGTAAGTTTCTGTTATATTATATCTGCTTTTTTATTTTGCTTAAACAATTTTGCTAACCTCTTTTTCTAAAATGGTACACTCATTGACTGGGTATTGGTTTTCAGGAGAGCTGAACACATGTATCCCTGCCTGTTGTGAGACGAGACTGGCATGCAGTATCATCCTGTGGCGCAACCACTAGAGAGCCATCTCCTTCGGTGGATCAATTTATTTTTAAGTCGGTTTTGTTTTTGCATTTGGGTGTAAAACTTGGTAGTTTTTTTATAGAGATTGATCCATTGTCAAAAGGAAAATTTTATAGCATAATATTGCATTCAATAATACTCATCAACTTAGAAAAAAACAAAATTTGTATGTTACAAACTCCAATGCATAATTTGAACTTTTCTAGAATTCACAGATGTGTAATAATTGGTGTCGTCAATACTATAAAAAGAATGTCGGCACGAATACAGCTGAAGTTTGATTGTGAAAACTATTCAGAAGTTATCTATCTATACACGAAAATAATTCAAACTGATGTTGTAGAAAAGATGGTGTAGATTGCAAAAATTGACATGACAAAACATGATTTTCATGATTAATTCCCTCCCGCATAAACTTCATCAAAAACCATTAGAAACTATAGAATAATGGGCAGTTTTGTTCTCGTCTTTTGGTTTAGCATCCTTCAGTAATGAGTGCTCGTCTACGTATTGGTTTGTAAGACGATTTTCAGCCTCTGGTAATTTGCTAAACAGCATCGCTTTAATTCAATCTCACCAGTGAGTATATTCCCTCATAACTGGCTGATCACAATTTATCAGTGGGTTTCTAGAAAATTCATTTGAGTTTAAGCACTAATCAACAGTGAAGGAATACCAAGCCAGTTGACTTCCTATGAGCAACTTGAATGGATTGCTGATGTCATAAGTCTTGACGATATAGTTATAAGTGGTTAGCACACTTCGATGAGTTAGTCTAGTAAGGCAAATAAGAGTCAGACAATGGAGCTAGATTTTACTGTTTGTCTGTCTATTTTCGACATAGAACTTTGCACATATGTGCACCAGTTCAAGTCGCCACACTCCATGTAGCACACAAAGTAAGAGAAAAAAGTGGAAGAAATGCATAATAGAACCAGTAAACAGAGCTGTGAGACAAAAGAATAGTAGTAACGAAGAACAAGACAGTTTCATTGGAAATCATAAGTCACAAGGAGTGGATGCATCTGCGTCAGCCAGCCATTGAGAACGATTTTGAGCCATGTCACCAATTGTTTCCAACCATTGGTTTTTACTGTCCCGAGGACCCCAACCAGTCAGGAGGTCTACACCTTCCTACATGGCTTAAACTAACTGTTGTAGATTTCATTGACTGGTGCGATGTTTTTGTTTGACCTCCGCTAGCTCTTTTCCAGCCTGACCCTATGTCAGCTAACGTTTCCTGTTGTCGAGGAAGGCGATGACTAGTCAGGGATGCGTAAAACATGTCCTAACCATCTCAGTCTATGTAACTTCACAGCCTCGTCGATTGATTTTTCCTCCCACCTACCTAGCACTCGACCGATGCCTCACCTCAATATTGCTCATCTTATTATGCCACTTCACACGGGAGATAGAGCGCGGGCACCTATGATCAAAGACAGCTAATCTTTTCATGTCTTCCACTCTCAGTGGCCAGGTCTCACAGCTAGCTGGCCATAAAGGAGGACGGAGCGGACTGATGAGCAGTACACCCGCCCTTTGGTCGACAGCCAACGGGACATCACGTCTACTAAGCCAGAGACGGCGTAAACTGGCATATGCGAAACTAGCCCTCTGTATCCGTACTCAGCTGAGATTTCGTCGGAGATCAACCCGTTGGCACTGGCTGATGGTACTTCCCAAATAAGTGAAGCGGTTAACGTGCTCTACCACTTCACTTCCTATTTTTAAACTAGGCGTCGGTGTAGTCCAGTCCTGTAACATCTTGCATTTGGCGGGAGCAAATCGCATGCCAAACATTCGTAGATTGCAGCTCAAGGCGTTCAGCACATGGAGCCTTCCTGAGCTAGATTTTACAGTAGGTAGGAAACGAAGTTGAAATCAGTGGTGTGCTGAGACTGTAGTCTCCCCTCTTACTGTACTGAATGTTAAGCTAGGCGGCTGTAAACAACTCATAATAACAGCAGATCCCATGGATTATTAACAAAAGCGTGCAAATGTAATGCTTCAGGCTTGGACATAATCCCCTCCGATTGGTTTCTATCTCTGATGTTTCACTATTTGTAAATAATCAAAGAAATCTTCTTAAGATAGTTTTAAGAGAATGAGTTAGGTCAGTACATTGTGAAGAATATTAGAATCCAACAGTAATTTGTGTACAGTGGATGAAAAAGAATCGCCTTTCTAAATCTCTGCGTGTATTTACAGTTAAGAGTACTGATGACGTGACTTACTTTTCAGTACACCTATCATCTTTTTTTTCTCGCCCTTCAGTTTTCGTGTGTTCCTAGTTGTTGTTGTGTATCATTTTTTCCATGAAAGTTTATCTTCGCTTGTAAGACTGATATGATATTTCAAGTATGAGATAGATTTGTTTATGTAGCACACAGCGGTTAGGACTCTCGCCGACCATGCACATTGTCCGGGGTTCGATCCCCCGCCGACGCACACCTGATATCTATGGTCGGCCTGCAAAATTTGAGCTACCGATATCACATACTGAAAATTCCATACTTGTACCAAAGAATACTGTGTAGAATCAAGCTGTAATAAAAAAAAATTAAAATTAATAATTAAACAGTATTATTAACTGGTCAACTTTTTGAGTAAGATTCATTTCTTATCATCGTATATCACATCATAATACCCAATATTATTTTCTCTTATCTTAAAGACTGGAATTGGTTTGTGCCTGCTGTTGGTTAGAGTAGTTAAACAGTTTGTGGATACTGAAAGTCAGTGTACTAAGTATGATTTCCAGACAGGGAGATTTAGTTCGGTCGTCATTATCCTTGCGTCTGTTGAGATGGTAATCTAACTGACTGTTGAATATTTTGATAAGCGTAATTATTTTCTACCTATGTGAAACTCATCCTATTCCATATTTTGAGGATGTTCAGTTGTTGCTATTTTCGTCTGACTGACTGAGTTTCAATTCCAAGTTGCCACACTATGTGGTAAACAAGGACAGAGAAAAACAAATTCGAGAGTATTATAATAAGCACAAATATGCTGGAGGAAAAACGGTAACATGGAAAAACGCTCGGGTCTAATGGACTTTGGAAATCACAAAGAGTGAATGCGTCTGTGCATTCATAAATGTTTCGAGCCATCTCACCAACAGTCTGAAGCAGTTGGTTCTTAGCTTGTCGATGGCTCCAGCCAGACAGTTAACACTTGGCTATGTAACCCAAGTCAGCAGCCAAAGACTTTATGCCATGTTTTGGTGTAACCACCCTTAAGTTATCTCCTACTCAATCCTATGCCAATTAACATAGTTCGTTGAGGAAGGTGGTTGCTTAAAATGCACAGCACGTGTCCTATCCACCTCAGTCAATGTAGCTTCACAAGACTGTCGATTGACTTGCCCTCTTTACCCAAAACTCGATGCTTAACCTCAGTATTAGCATATAACACCACTTAATAGGAGAGAGAGAACGTAAAAATCTGTAGTTAGAGAAAGCTAGCCTTTTCATATTTTACACTTTCAATGGCCATGTCTCGCAGCTTTGAAGGAGAACAAAGTGAACTGCCGCGCAGTACATACGTCCTTTGATTTGGTATCACGTGTATGCCTGAGGTGATATAAGTTGGCAAACGGTACATGAGCCTTCTGTATCCGTGCTGAGATCCCGTCAGCTATCAGCCTATCGGACCTGATGCTACTTCCCAGACAAATGAAGTGGTCAACCCGTTGAGCCACGTTACTCTATATCTTTAGGTCAGGAGTCGGTGCAGTCCGGTCTTGCAGTATTATCGTATATTTAACAGGGATGAATCGCATGACAAACATTTGAAGGTTTCTGCTCAAGGTGTTCAAAAGACCTTGGATTTTGTCATTTTTTTCACCTAGGGGAACAATATCATGTATTCAATCTAAATAAACTAAAAGACTAAACTGTTCCATGGTAACAGGTCGATATTCAAGTCACTAAATTCAGTCAAGTTTAATCCCATTAGTACATATGTGATGAAATTAAACAAAAGTGGGTATCTATGACGGATACCATTGGTTATTATCACTTCAAATGAAAGCTTTAACATGCCTATCTGAATTTGAATGCGTTTATCAGTGCAGCACACTTTCTCGGCACTTTCTTTAAGGCCAATCATTTCCACAGTACCTCTTGACTGACAGACTCGAATGGCTACTTAATATTACAAAGTATGTCAAGTGTTGGATGCCGGTGAGTATTCCTATGTCCCAAAATATGTTGAATGGTGAATACACGGTCAATATACCCTCTTCCTGATCTAAAGCTTACCTAGTTTTCCTGCGTTTGTTTTCCCGGAGCTCTACTTACTTTGAGCATAATTATTGTGTCTAGAAATTCAGGTAATTTTTTCATCAAGCTAATCCCCTAACACAGGAAGATTTATATTCTTTTATATAAACTGAGATAATCGTTGATTTGCACCAGTCTAATGGAACTGTCTCAGATCCCCAGACAATACTGAATGCTATATTTAATCCAGACAGCAGTTCGTCATCGCTGTTCGTAGGTACCTCTGGAGTCGTTGTATCAGTTCCTACAGTGCTGCTTTATTTCAGGGACGGCCTTATCGGTCTCACTTGTAGTTGGAGAATCGATATCTACATCCCGTTTACTTTATTTTTTAAAATTTAAAACACGAACTTGGTACATTATGGGCACCAAGAGATGCACCGCGTGAGTGTAATAAAGCAACCTTATATGGAGAAACTAGGGATATAATAAATGAAGGTCGTCGTCTGAAAAGCAGGCAAGCATTACTTGTCAAGATCATTGGCCATTCATCAATACATGTTACTTTCAGAAGGAGAAGAAAGAAAGG